GCTACATAAAAACCTATTGATGTAAACTTCGGTCATCACATTTATTACAAAATCCTGCATACTTTCAATATTCTTTATCAGTAGAAGCATAAAATTCTAAGCTGTAGATTTTTGCTAGGAATGACTAAATACATATATACACTTTGCATTCATTCTCTTTATATGTGGTTTACATTACAATTGGTGATACAGTTATGACAAAAAATATTTGCATGAATTACTTATTGATAGAGTTATTAGGTTCCGAAAATTGTAACATGTACTCAGGCAGTTACTCAATGATAAATCATTTGAGTAAGTAATTATTAGGTAAGTAAGTAGATAGGGTCACTTGAATTAGGAACACAATCGTTTACTCTAAAAATTGCAACCATAGACTGAACAAGCGCTAATTCTCTATAAATTCTCAAGTTATCATAAACTATCCATTTCATAAAATAGACTTGAAACAATTTTATTTTAAAAACTATATATATATGTATATATATATATATATATATATATATATATATATATATATATATATATATATATATATATATATATATATATAACTTCAAATGATTAATAGTAATAATGCCGTACAATCGGATAAATATAAAAGAAAAAATAATTAAAGTGATGAGCCTGTCATTTTTCTTAGAAGTTTGATATTAATATAATTTAAAAGGGGTTTTATGGAAATTATTTTAATTTGAAAATAATATCCGTCACAGACTGATGTCTTTCGCTTTACCATGGAGAACAACAAAGTGCTGGGGAGCTATTTCGTTGTGGTATGGAATAGTTGACAGTGTTCACCCATGGCTACACTATGAATCGTTGGGTTCTATCTCAGATTGATTGAAGCTGGGATTGAACTACTGGACGTTGACCCAGTGGTTCTAATGGTTAATGATTTGTTACAGGACATATAGGTCCTGATTTTGATATCCGAAGGATTCAAGTGTACGCGTTGTTGAGAAGTTCATACTACGACGAAACAGCTCTTCATTGCTTTGTGATTGAAACCGCAGCTGAGATCAATCTGTGAAGAATCTCACCTAAAAACTCGGTCAGTCTTCATGAAATTTCTCATAAAGAATAATAGCGTCTAGTAGTGTTATCTATAGACATCTCCTGAGGAATCAGGTGCTTCGGAAATTAGGAGTATACATAATGCACCAGTGTATGCAGAAGTGCATGGAACTAATAGGGGCCTGAAGGATTCGTACTCCAATTCCGCTGGCTTCCATTTCCATGAACTATCATGATAAGCCAATGCATTGCATTGACATTTGTGGTGCACGTTTTCACAAATCGAATTCAAATATCCATCTGTCTCCTTGGAAAATGTAGATATTGAACAACTACATTTTGATAGAACACTGGGAGAAACAGCTTTATTAAACTATTACACCTACCTCTTTCTTTAAGAAGGACTGGGATGTTTTCTGGCAGCTTTGCGACCAGTCCTACAGGACACAAGCTTGATGTACGGTTTCCGCTCCCTATGGAACTGGGAATCAAGAATGGTAAAATGTTCCCCGCTTGAATTCTCTTACTGTACTCTTGAGCTCTTTCAGCGACGGGAACGTTACTGGAAACGATCTGAACCTGAATTGGTAATAGTGTGATTATCCGAGCTCACTTTTATCAAAATATTCGTCATCGCATAAATTATTAGTTTTTCCATCAATATTAAATCGATAATAACCAGTAAAAACCTTCTTAAAACTATCAATATTATTGTACGACAGGTTTAAGGAAAGTGAGGGTGGTGTGAAAAATATTTTCTTTAGTGGGTGGTTGGGTGAGAATACCAAATTTAAAGCACAGACGGTTGAATGTTATTCTTGATGAACAAACATCGGGTAAAAAATTTCAAAGCCTTTTTAAGTGACTAATCAACAGTGAAATAATAGTTTTCTCAAATTTTCTTAAGATATGGACTTCAAATACCGGAAGTATTGCTTTTTATGCTCAAGACAAAATGACTCACATTTTCTTATTCTTATTCCGTATATAAACACAACTAATTTTTAAAATTTCTATTTGATTACATTAGTACATCGTTTTTCTGCTTTCTTCTAATTCATAATGTTTTGTATATTTGACTGAATGATTTAATAATCTTTTTAAATTTTACATTATCGTTGACTCTTGTTTAATTATGTGATTACGTAACAGAATACAAACAATTTCTGATGTCATGTCGTTATCTTCAGATAAACTGATCATTGTTTGTCACGAATGATTTAGGAAATTTGTATTCCACTTCCATACGACTAGTGGTGACACTGTGCTCCCTAAACAACATGATTTAATTACAATCTTTTTGTGGGGTGTGCTAGTTATATCGACATAAGTAGTATATAACGTTAGTCGTAAACAGAATGTCTAGCATAAGAGAGACAAGAGGACCTAACACTAAAGAATGAAAACAGAATACAATTTGTGTGAAGATGCAAGAACAATGAAGTCTGAGTCATTTTAAGACAACTGATGGACATTTTGTAAATTAAGCATTTACTATATGATTCTTAGATTTTACTAACAAGTCCTGTAATTTTGTGTCTAATACATTTGATTGTCCCCACTGGTATTCTGTCCACTAAATTTTCACTGTCGTTCTTGGCATTATTATCACTATTCTCTTGTTATCACATTGATGAAATAAGCGTTATCCTCCCTTTAAAATTCATCAATTTCTGTTATTCAGCAAGAACGGAGATTAGTTGCATATACAAATAACTTACCAGTGTATTTTCTTCGTAGACAATATCGAAACTTCTAAATACCTGGAAAAAATTTGCGAAAGTTTGATAGTAAACTGCGACCAATGTCTAATAGAAAACTAATGGCTTCGCAAAGGGAAACTACAAAACATTCGTCTGAACATAAATAACGGAATATATCGCTGTATAAAATATCGGACTAAATAAAAAAGAAAAGAGTGATTTTAAGTGTTCGATAATAATACTGAACACTATTTGATCAAAATACTTTATATTAAGCCTTTGACAAGGTAGATATATCATCATATTTATAGACATCATTTCTAATGATTTACCAAAGGAAAACAGGAAAAATATAAGAAGCACTATTCTGGCATATTCAATTAATAGTGATCACTATACTTATATAAAGAGAATTCTGTCAGAACAACTCAATGTCTCAGAAATTCGTCTTATGTGCACAGCACAAGTCATAGGAAATCGCATAAATATACCAAATCTTTGTGTATAATAAAACGTTTGCCTTGTTTTTCAGTTTACTTTGATATCCCATTAAGATACCCTCACATTTTGTGATGCGTTTTTGATTTTGGCGATTGTAGAATGTGCTTAGTTTAAATCAAGAACTGAGCATGATTAGAAAACCATTGAAAACCTGGAAGCGCTGGACAGCGTTTTACGTGTACGTTTTTTTTAGTATGTTTTAGTACGTTTTCACAGAGCTGCAAATAGATTGACTTCTTTTTGATGCACTCATCCCAAGGTCACTCTTAACATCTTTTCAAACCATCTTCACAGTGCCGTTTTACCGTTAGTTATAATAACACTGGTTCAATTAATGTGTAGTTCACACCTTTTTGAACGTATAAAGATAAAAGCAAAAATTTTATTTTTATTATTTAAGACTGAAAGGGTTATGTGTTGGGTTATCTATTATTAAGTCTGATTCATTGGAAAGTCGCTGACATCCAGTGAACATCAGTATCTGTAAAAACAGTTCGATATTAGTAAGCCGTAATAAATATGATGAAGAATGAAACGTAAACTAATAGAATATAATGTCAGTAATATGACAGTTAGTGATATTGTTACAAATAGACAAACTGAAAAACATTTCAACTTATTTGCAAACTTATTCTATTCTATTCTCTACCAAAGATATCTTCAAAATAATGAAGTGAATGTTAACTTAAAAGAAGTTTATCTGTAAAAGGTTTATAATCAAAATTACTGAATGTAGTACGAAAAAATTAAATACGTTACAATTGCCATGAGACAAGCAGCTGGCTACATCTGATTTTGTTTGTCAATTTGACCAGGAAAGCAATCCCATATTCGCTTGTCTCTGTGTGTTTGCAAGTTTTGAACATTAAACCCTTGGTTCCTTTTTGAAGTGTTCCCTGTCTTACGTTTTGCTATAATTGAATAACTTCTAGATAGTAGTTTAGGAAATGTGGGAAGCATAAAATCATTGAGTTATCACTTGACGAAAGTTAGAGATGCAGATTATTGGATATTGACTTAATGAACTCAGGGTAATGTGCCAGCCACAAGACTTAGAACTCCTGGATTCTGTATTGATGATGTAGTGGGTACTTACTATTTGACAGTTTCGGACCTGTAATGATTCAGTTATTCATTGCATTTCAGTTTTATATGATTACTTAGTTTAAGTTCGTCCATGATGTTAACTCAGCTGAAAATGTTTCTTACCACTTTATAAAAATTAACCTATATATTTAAAAGTGACATTAGGTTACATTATTGATTTGTGATTGAGAAATTCCAAAAATAAATTTCTAAGAAAAACTTTGTACCACATTATACATAGACTGAAATTTTCCGACTGAATACAGGAAACTGTAAAGCTACTTTCGTAAGATTGCTACAAAACTGAAAGAGAAACGAAAATTAATGCAAATTATAATTTAATATTTTTCCCACCAAAAATATGTGCTTACACATATTTATAAGAGCATGAACACATATGCACAGAAACTATATGCATAACGACACTTAATATCATGCACTTTGTGTGTATACTCAGATGAATGAAATCAAAGTATATCACACTAATGATTGGACAATGAATTTACTTATTATTTTTTAATATTTTTTTCTAATAATTAGTTTTATTATTATTAAATGAGTTAAACGCCTACAATCAAAAACCTATAAGCATACTGATATCAATAATTACATATATTTATGGAATGTACTACCATCCAACAAGAAATTTTAAATTTGTGTACCAATTCAGTTTTATCAATTGTATGTGAATGCGCAAGTTCTGTGTGTCAATCGTATTGAACGTTGAACATGATATATATATATATATATATATATATATATATATATATATACGCAACAATCATACATATATATTTGCACTCAATTATTTAAATAAATCAACACACTAGTTCACGTACCGATACATACCATTTCATACATACACATACCCACTTTGTAAGCATACGTAATTTGATATAATAAACAGTAGAAACACAAAAAACGATGATATTCACTCCGGCCAAAATGATCAGCGACTATTGTCTGTTATTTTATTTTGTGATTTGAATATATTCCAATTATTGCATCCTATGATTCACATAAAATAATGTTCTATAATTATTTATTCAATATTTAACTATCAGGAATATTAGAAAAATCTTTCTGAAAACTGTATGGAAATTATATTATTAATCAATTGGTGAACTGAAATTTTAATCACTTAGAAAATTCATAGACAAGAACTGTTGAAAACATAGAGGATTTTGACGACCATAAACAACGCCATTATTATTATTATTATTATTATTATTATTATTATTATTATTAACAACGGTGACAAAGTACGAAACGAAATCAGAACAAAAACAGTAATCAGCACTACTCAATAGAACGGGGTGATGCACGAACTATTATTTTTCTTCGAAATCTATTTTCTTATACATTATGCATGGGAATTTGGATAAAATTACATTGAATCTTTTAACCTCTATGAAAACAATGTAATATTGTAGTTTATGTGTGAACTTTGAATTATTTATTTCAAAGAGTGAAAGGCAGAAAGTGGAAAATAAATATTAAAAAAAATTGAAAACCCAACGCTTGATTTATCAAATCAGTAATTATTTCATTAATCAATTTATTGAATAATAAGTAACAAACAAAACAAAATAAGTAAGATCACTTTGAACAAATTCATGTTCAATTCCCAGTGGACGTTGTCAAGTTTATCACCATTATTGTCAGCTGTTTTAAATTTATCGGAAATACTACATCAACAACAACAACTACTACTGATAATAATAATACTGGTAGTGCTACGACTTTTATTAATATCATTGATTTTAATTCATTATTATTTTAGTCATTCATCTCATTGTTATCTCACTGGTATCTTTGAGTGGTTTAACAACTATCTACCCTCATCACATTCACTCACTTCCCCTTTTTCTTATTTCGTGGAGTTAATATCACTGCCATCCTCAGCACTGACATCCTCGTTGTTACTATCACTGTCATGGATATTCTGCATATTGTTTGGTGCTCTAAGTATATGGTTCTTGAAATCAGTATGTTACCTCAGTACACGATTATATCATCAGAAGGATATACTACTATTTTTCAGAAACAGTATTAATGATATTCGTAATTATAGAATTTACAGTAAAATAAATGTCATACTACTTACATTGCACACTGATTCAATCATTTTCATATATAATCTTATCAGTGGATGGAATTCAAGCGATACGTTGAAGAGTAAAATTAAAACATCAAAAAGACTTACGCAACGTAAACGTTTAAGTCATGGAATGAGTACATTATTCACTATATACTTTGGATTATTAATTTATTTAGAACTATGTGGAATTGATTATGCTGAAAGTAGATCGATTTCAACCGAAAACGAACGCAGATATGGTAATTTAGATTTACATCCGGCTAAATCATCACAACAAAAGACACCAAAAGTGGTTATGCCACCATATGACCTTGGGTTTAAAGGTCAAAAAACAGACGAACTGAACAAAGTAAAATTATATCCACTGTTATCATCATCATTATCGTATCCTACATTTTTGAGTGATTTTAATGACAATTTCGATCAAATGAAAGGTTTTCAGTCAGATGAAACATATTTAAGAGATTCTCAAACACAGCAGCAGCAAAGAAAACAACGCTATCAGAGAGTAAGTCGTGATAATTTTAACTCACAAGAAGAGACCGACAATGATGATGAGGACAATGCTGTCGAATTTTTCAATACACGTTTGATGTATGATTCGAAGTTGTCTCAATCTAATCATCTTAATAAGAATAGTGTAAGATCATACGGACAATTTCCATCGGTATCATCATCAATACCGTCATTAACAGAAAGAGAGACAAATGAACGACTTGACTATAGAAGAGTAAACCTTGCACCTTCTAAATCAACAATACAAAAACAGATATCATACTCCCCATATAATCCATATACAAGAATGAATAATTATCAAGAATCGCTTTATATACCTGACCAACAAACTATGTATGAAATGAATACTCAACAGTACCCTCGTGAACAAGAGAAGACATGGACCAGAAAGGATAATAATAATAATAATAATAATAATAATAATAATAAGCCATATCAACGTCATGAACTATATGATGGTTATACAGCTCATATGAATCGTGAAAATCCGTCTAGTTGGTTTCCTTTTCCTAATTATCAAACCAATAATAATAATCCATTGAACAATAGACCATTATATTCACAACAGTCAAAAATACAACACCAACACCAACCATCTTCAAGTTTAAATAGTTACTCATATTATAGCACTCCAAACAAAAATATTGATAGTAATAATAACGTTAATAAACGTAATCCATTTTCATATTTTCCTGAGATTTCGGATATTCAATTATCTCATCTAATTTATCAGTACCAAATGGAATTATTACGTCGACAATCTGGACGTTTACCCGATATTGATTATCAAATGGAGCATAATTACTATGGTCAACCGGCTGAATCGTCTTCACACCATTTACCTAGTAAGTTCATTACGTTTTAAAACATAAGTCTTTTAGACGTTTATGGTTTGTATGTAAAATAAACCGTAATTGATTGCGGGGGTCAACGGGAGATATAATGAATTTCAGCGAACACTTTTTATCTTGTAGGTTATATCTTGAAGTTATCATAGTTATACAACCAATGAAAACCAAAAAGCATTTAATAGCTGTTTCGTTCTTCTGTGCGACTCGGGGAGTCGAATCCAGGACTGCTAGATCTGAAGGATGCTTAACTCTTGGGCCACTAAGCCAATACCCAAATGTTTGCATTCATAACTTTTATTAATTTGCAGTATTGTACAACCACCATGTAGTCCTGTTGGTTGGTAACTATCTCACACCCAATATTGTTGAACTTCACGGATTAAAAACTCCGACCAGTGCTCCTGGAAATAACTTTTGGAATTAGTCATTACCTAGTGTATGATTATGATCACTCCAATAAATTTAGAGTCTAATCTGCTGCGTGAAATATGAAGGTCCTGGGGTTCTTCCATGGTATGGTCGTGGATGAAGACTTTAGAAGATTTCAATACTGTAACCTTTCAGCTGTGTCGTGTCTCCTGGCTTCCATCAGTTATCTAAATAAGGTCCCTTTGTGATGTCGCCTATAAAATTCACTCATCCCTATGAACCCCCCGTCCTAATATTTCTTATCTCTGCTCACGATTCCTCCTTATTAAATTTCACATTTACAACCAAGCAATTTCTGTATAATCTCAAACTAAGAAGCTAACCTTTAATTAAATTACCCTTTACAAAACACGGAACTAAAAAATGATAATTACATTAAAGTATATGTACAGTGCATTTGAGCACAAACTTGGTGATAAGCTATAAAAAGCAGTTCAGGTATATCTTTATGTAGGTACCTGTATGAGTGTTGTTAATGTTGAAACAGATTCTGCCAATCTAGATATAACGATCGCATGTACTGTAGCTTGCTTGTGACCTTAAGAGGTTTTGTTCATAGAACTGGTGATATCACGTGCATTGTACTTAGTGCTGACCATGTGTGTCTAGGTACTGAACTAATGATGAGTCAGCAGGTATTGTCATCTTAAAACTTCAGCTTGGTAAATTACACATCAAGAGTATCGTTACAGTTAACTTTTGTACAGTCAATCAAATAAAGACGCGGTGGTAGAGAATGTCAAAATGGTCTCATGTTTATGGCATAGCATGGTGAAAATGTAGGTGATTATGTTAAGTTCGTATCAGTAAGTCCATTACAAGGTACTGAGGTTATGTTGATTGGTATAATAAGAAGTTATTTATCCCTAATGGGGTTATGGGTATACATTACTAGAGGGACTCACACTAAGACGAAACAACTTCCCAGTGTTCGTTGATCTTCAATGGTATCCCAACTGAGAAATAGTAGTGCTGGTAACTTTATATCTCAAAGTTTATAATTTCCGATACTTTTCCCTCTTTATCTCTTAATGATTTTCTCCAATGTATTTCTTTCCAATGTTATCTCTTCGCTTCATAAGCAACATATCTTGGTGATGTATTTTACTGAGCATTTGCGTTGTAACATGAAAAAATTATACAAAACCATATCAAACTGATGATTTATTAAAGTCAGTAAATGATCCAGTTCATGATAAGTTATAGTTGATAAAAACCTTGTAATGAAAATAACCCATAGTGTCATTGAATAAGAAAAAGAGAATTCAGCGAAGTAAATTTTCTTATCGACGAGATCATTTATATATACATATATGTATATAGAAAAAATTGCATCACCAAAATGGATTCGAGGATAAATAACAAATGAGGTTACGTACTAATCAAGGGGTAAGGAAGAAAATAATTTATGGGTCAGATAATAGGTTCAATTGACAAATATGAAGAAAAGGGACAAACACAAAGGTCATAATAATAAACTGAATAATAATCGAAAAAACTTGTATAAGGTAATAATAATAATAATAATAACTGATAAGAGTTTAAAATGCAAAATAATAATTTTAAAAAATGCGATAATAATCAAATAAAGGTGCAGAAAAAACAAAAAGCATACCCATTAAGGGAATTAGGGCCAAGGAAGGATGAGAGGTTGGACAAATCGCTTGTGCACTTAAAGTTCAGGTTTGAGTTTGTGAATTGACTCTGTAGATCACTTTAAAGGAAGAATGTTTGAGAGCGATGTGTCCGAAATTGATTAAATGCTCCTGTATAGAACTAGTGATTGTCTTACATTCTCCTTTTAAAAGCCAAGCCGGATAGTGTTCTGAGATGCGTCTGGAAAGTAATCGCTTTGTTCGGCCTATGTAATGAGCCCCACATGAGCACGTAAATTTATAAATACACAATGATGTGGCCCAAAGCTATAGTTTATCTTTAACACATTCAGGAATGGTAGACCGACTTGAGAAAACCATTCGGTGCTTGGCTGTGTAGAAAGTTTTATTCAGTGATTTTGAAATCCGTTTATTTAAGATTTTAGCAGCCGTGTCTCCTTTAAATTCCACAATCATGTTGATACTTTCTCATGATGAATTCTAGGTGTTAAGTTACTATCGATGAATCTAGGTGGATAACCGTTTCTGATGAGAGTTTGTAGAAGTTGAATTAGTTCCTCATCTATTGTGTCAGAGGGACAGATTCGCTTGATCCTAGAGGATAAAGAGTGAATCAAGTTCCTCTTTCTACTCAATGAGACCCGACTATGGAAATTAGTGTAGTGTCCATTCCAGGTAGGTTTTCTATATATAGATCGCTGTAAAAACCATCAGGCATTCTTTTTAATCAGACATCAAGAAAATGAAATCCATTATTTGGCTCTGCTTCTAGGGTGAATTGAATTGAGGAGTGACAGTTATTGAAACTGTTCAAAATTACATTTAGGTCTGTGGTGGACCAGACGATATATAAACGCAAAAAGTATCAACAAAGTTAATAAAGATCAATAGAAATGTTAATATATATAAGTTAATTATTACAAATACAATAGAAAGTTAAGACTTTACTTAAGTTCACCAAATTGATGCGTGTTCGGCTTTGGTCTGGTACTAAGAAACCACAATTATAATGCTTGGTAATTCCGATCTGGTTGACGAACTCTCCAGTGATATAATCCAACATAGGATGTGATATATTCCAATTACAGTCTATAAACGTAGATAGTATTTGATTTAGACTTCAGTTAATTCAATCACAAACGAAGATAGAACGAGGAATGTGTGAGTAAAAGTGTATTTGTTAGCCAGCAAGAGTATGTCACGCTATGTCAGTATCACAACGGAAAGTGTGTTCAAGGTCATTTACTAAAACAACAAGTACAATCATTTAATGATAAAATATACAAACAGTGAAAGATTGACAAAATAAATACAAATAATATTAAAAACTATTTACAAAATAAGCTTGTCAGGCCTATCTCCACAGGTCCATATCTTCTTCACAAATCATCCATATATCTCTTCTGTAAATGAAATCTCTCAATTATTGGACGAAGTACAGAATTTTCCAGATTGGCCATGAAGCAATCAGCCAAGAGCGGATCCAATGGAGAACCCCTTGCAACTCCATCTATTTGTCTATAGAAAACATCATTAAATCTAAATTGCACATATCAAGATTATTGTTTTCAATACAGTCACATAAAAGACAAATGGTTTCAGTGAGAGGAACATTTGTAAAAAGAGAAGTGACATCTAATGAAAACATTTTCTTACCAATTACGTTGATATTTATAACTGAGTCGACGAATTCAAAGGAGTCAAGAGAATCGTATTTATTGACATGATTTTTAACACGTTGTAAAATGTCAACTAACCATTTAGCGACCAAGTGATAAGGAGAGTTGTTCATATCAGGTATAGGACGTAGTGGGACATTATTCTTATGAACTTTTGAGAGTCCATATAGTCTTGGTATAACGGAACCCGATGGTTTGAGATGTGCATAGAGGTCACAAATGATAATAGAACCATCTTTCATTTTCTTTAAGATTTTAACTAGCATCTGTTCAGTTTTTTCAGCTGTGTCTTTTTGAACGGTCTCAATAGAGAATTTGACAGGATCAGATAACATCGAAGATATTTTGGTAACATAGTCAAGACGATCCATAAGGACAATTCCTGCCCCCTTGTCTGGGCGACATAACACTAAGTTCTGATTTCTCCGAAGATAAGATAATTGAGATTTATGTTCTTTTGTGAGTAATCGACTAATTGTAGGTGTTTTATATACATATTGATTACAAAAATCCACAAGAGTTGTTTTGAAATGCTCAAAATCTTCATTAGATACTGGAATAAAGTCGTTAGTCTGACGAGTGAGGCTTTCAAACTGGATGACGTACTACAAAATTTAGGACCAAGAGATAATGCTTGTAGCTAAATAGTTGATAATTTTATACTTGAGTAATTAAAAACATATTTCTCTGGAGACTCAGGAAAAGAAGCCTGAGTATCCGTCTGTTTCAAAGTTTTCATTAATTCCAAGATCACGTCTTGGGATTAGATGGTGGTTGGAGGTAGTCAACAGGAAACCCTGGACCCGGGTTTCGTGCTACTTGGCACTCGTCAGCAAGGTGTACCTGTAATCTTGAGGGAACTGGTGCTCCCTGGCGGATTCGATCTCGTGTCACCCAGCTTCACAGTCAGAGGCGTTACCACTGAGCTATCCGAGCCGTGACTAACCTCCTGTAGGACTGAGATGTAATCACAATTGATTGATCACTGGGTGGTGATCAATCTCATGCTTGTCTAGTCCTTATTAGTGCAGATCGAATGCTATCGATCATGTTGCAATGTGGCCACCAGTCTAGGTGACTCGACACTGCGGGCACTATGTATTGAGATTAGATGGTGGTTGGAGGTAGTCAACAGGAAACCCTGGACCCGGGTTTCGTGCTACTTGGCACTCGACTACCTCCAACCACCATCTAATCTCAATACATAGTGCCCGCAGTGTCGAGTCACCTAGACTGGTGGCCACATTGCAACATGATCGATAGCATTCGA